ACTTTTTTCCCCCCACCAAACCAGGTTCTGGTTACAGCAATGTTACCACCAAGTCTACCACTGTTGACCCACACAACTCCCAGCACATGCATCTGGTAAGATCTTTTGTTTAAATCAACAGATGGTGGTTCCAGTTATGACAAAGTCATGTTTCTATTTTATCTAATGCACCTAAAAATTAATGACACACAATTCAAACAGCAGCAGTAAGGGAGAACATAATAAGTTATAGCCACGACTCCAATTAAATATAAAAGGTATATCCTTTTATACTTGACATTTTGATGGTAAGAGTTAAACCCCAAATTATTAAGTATACAAAAGAAATCAAACCTAAAATTTCTCTAAAAAAATAAAATCTTAAAAAAAAAAATCAAACCAAAAAAACCCTAATGATTCCAATTCTTTCATACTACACAAATAACTCAGTCAACCATAGTATAAACCATGGGAATCACAGCACAATATCCATACATACTTTAATACACAGTTATTAGATATATGTAATGTCTCAAACATATCATGCAAAGACTATCTTTAAAGAATGAGCCTTGAGGGCTGGTAATCCCACAAAGTTAATGTCCACTTTTACCTGTGTCCATATCTCCTGGTCATCCACCTCCAGTCAAGAGGAAGCTGGGGAAGTCCAGACAGAGCACAGAATTAATTGGGAGAGCCAAATTAGATTGTGACGGAGAAGGGATAAAACACCACCTTCAGATGGCACACCATTTTCCTAGTTGAATGACTATCAACAAGAAAATGTGTAGGGTTTTTTGCTGATAATTCAGCATATAGGTGGATTTTTCAAATAACAGTCTGAATAACACCAATGGTCAGCTAGCTGTATACACTTGAAATCAATCTCTGCACCTTCATTTCATTCCCTGCAAAATAAAGGCAAAATAGATGCAGAAAGTCCTTTCCTTCTAGCCCTAAAACACAAAGACAGTCTCTAGAGCACAGGTTCCCAAGCTTTCTAAGTTCGTGTATTTCAGTAATGTTTTCTTTCACAGCAGCCCTAGGCCAAGAAATAATAACAGTTCCACTTACTGTTAGTAGCCATTTGAAAAACAAATCTATCTCAGCTGAAAAAAATATTCATTCTTAAATAACCATAATTACTACTTATAGAACATGTATTACGGCTGGGCACTGCACTTCAGAAACTTTGGAATCAGATTGAACACTGCTATCCTTATTTGCTGTTCCACAATGATTTCCATGCAGTGTTTGCATTTTATCACAAGAACCCTCAAAACTCACAAAGACATGTCATTGAAAGGAATGTAGCACAATCTAATTTTGAAACCATGAACTCTCTCAAGCTAGTAGTTTACCAGACAACCAAGAGATGTCAAGCATTGCTCTATCTCCCTTGAAAATTTAAACTTCCCGGCAGCACCTCGGAGAGTTGGTGGCAATACCCTGAGGTGCACAGGTGAAGTTTGGGAAACATGGCCCTATGGTAAGGTATTATATAATTTTGTGGCTTGGACTCAGACAGACCTGGGTTGGAAATAAGAGTCTACCAATAACTGTATAATCTTGGGTCTTAAGCAGCTGAATCAATCTCTTGAACCTTAGCTTCTATGCTTGCCAAAAAGGAGTAACAGCACCAACCTCAGATAATAGTAGTAAGGAATAATGAGATGTATGCACATAGTAAATGCTCAATAAATGGCAGCTATTATTATATCTTTAAAACTGAACAAGTAGTTTATAAAACCAAATTTAATAACCGACGCTGTGGGGATGAAGGAAAAGAAACATTCTAAGCTGAAGCCACAATGTCAAATTAAAACTTTAAAAAATTTTTTTAGGGGGAAAATCATAAAGTGCTTAAATAAGGGCAATACAGAGAACTACAGTCTCTTCCAAAGGCTGTCATAATGTTGATACACCTATAAAAATAAGTAGGTAAGAAGTAGTAAACTGGCAACTCAGAAGAATATATGTTAAAATCTATGTATGTATATGTACATACATATGTATGTTAATACATGTATATTAATCCTTTTAAGGGATAACCACACTAGGATAAAAACAAACATTTTATAAACTAGGAATCTTTACAGCATTAAGAACTGCCTCTTAAAAATACTTAAATTTATAAAGAGCAAAGCTCATTTGATTATACCGAAGACTTTTCATCAAGAGCATAATAGTTCAATATATCTGTTCAAACCTTTCTCACATGCTAAAATCCAAGTACACTTGTATGTCTTCCATCTCACAAACATCTGTAATAAAATTTGTAATACAAGCATATCTGTAGGTGCTTGGTTTATGAAAGGATTTTTGAATGAAAAATTTCTCTTTTTAAAAATATTTTTAGATTTATTGATTTAGAGAGAAAGGAAGGGAGAGAGAAAGAGAGAAAAACATCGATTAGTTGTTCCACCCATTTATGCATTCATTGGCTGGTTCTTGTATGTGCCCTGACCAGGGATTGAACTCACAACCTTGGTGTATCGGGACGAAGTTCTAACCACCTGAGCTATCCCAGCCAGGGCTATGAAAGGATTTTTGAAACATTTTATTTGACCCTGATATTATCTCAATTTACTGAAGAAACGGAGTTCCACAGAAATTAAGTAATTTGTACTACAACCTACATATTACACAGTTTAACACTAAAACCCATTATCTTTTAATTTTTTCTAGTACACCACAACTCCTTCCCAAAAAACTCAGTTCAAATCTTGTTTACTGGACCAGTATTGTTTTATCAACTCTTTCAAGTGGGTTAACCATCATCAAAGGCCTGAAAATGAAAATATTTGCCATGCATAGTAATGGCATTTCACCTGCAGAGACTTCTCATTTGCCAAGTATGCTTAACTGTGTAATATTAATAATTATTCTTAGGTCACCTTATGACAAGATCTATTATTATAGTTGCAAGTATACCAATGGTAAGGCAGTGGCCGAGCCCACTGGTATAATCTTTCAGCCCATATTATTTCCCATTTTACTTAGCTGGTGGCCCATTGTTCAACTCTAGATAGAAAGATAACATGAAATATTAAACTGATTCTAATATTTTATCTTCTGTTATTAATATAAGCCAAATGCAGTGGCCGAAATACTTAAAAAGAATGGAGGGACAAGCAATCTTGTATACCATCCAAAATACAATACCATCACAGAAAGTCTGTACCTGTCTTTTAATTTGGTCCAAGTAAATTCCAAAAACAATTTATCAGCAATCCCTTTCCCCAAATTCCCACATTTCTCTCTGATAGATTACTATCATTTCCCAGGGTATCCTAAAAGCAACTTACTAAGGCATTCTACTTCACAATGACTATTTCCTTAGAAATTGAATGTAAATACAATTTAATAATGAAATTACTATATTGGGGGACTTAACTTTTAAAGAAATTCTACAGGTCTTTATAGAATGTAACTAATCACCCTTCTATTTTATAATATATAAAACATTGGCCTTTATACGCCAGAGTTTGTCAAGATAAGAGAAGATTTGGACAGGAAAGAAGAGATATAGGCCTGCACCACAACTACTGTATTAATTTGGGTCTCTGGTAACCACAACATCATTCTCTCTATAGGTAATATTTTAAAGAACTTCACCCACTTGGGCCCTCCCTAGCAATGTAAACAGTTAACAGAAACTTCATTTACATGGAGAACTGAAGAGCAAAAAGAAACAGCTGTCTTGTACAATACCCAGTTCACTTCTGCCACCGAATACAAACACAAAAAAGACCTATTTGGAAAACGTTTCTTCTCCAACCAAGGGCTGTTCCCACAAAAAGGCAATGATCAGAGTACACAAAAACCTTCTCTAAGGGAAGAAATGTGCCAGAAAAGGAAAAGCATGGATAGGAAATAAATAGGAAGTGAGCGTCTGCGCTGTGTGAGAGGACAGGAGGCAGCAAGCGCAGCGCTGAGATGCTCCAGCGAAAAGAACCAGCAGCAGCAGGAAGTTTCAATGGGGCCGGGCAGAGCATGCGCCCTGCACCCGCGCGGTGGCCTTATGTGGAAGGAGCACCACTTGCGAACACCAATAATAGACCAGCGGCACCAGAGAGAAACATGAGCAACAAGCACCTCTTCAACAGTTTCCCCCTCCGTCTGAGCCCCTCCTCCAGCCTACATACTAACCACCCCACCCCACCCTGCAAATGGGAGGGCGACTTCTTCTTCCCCTAAGCCTTGCAGCCAAGATGAAGGGGGAAGGGACTAGAAAAGTGGGGAGATGCTTTTCTATCGGGGTGGGGGGCAGAGAAGGGGGAGAGGAAAACTATGGGGGGGGAATTAACCCTCTACCTTCCAAAGTGGAGGTGAACCGACTTAGTCCCCCAAAGCGAGAATGGTGGAGTACCCCCCTCCCACGGGGGAGGAGCAAATCTCCCTACTTGGAGGAAGGAGTTCTGGGGGTTAAATAGGCCCTCGAGGAGAAGCGGAGAGGGACCAGAGCCGACTCTCTCCGGGGAGTTCCCACTAGAGGGAGGGAGAGCTGAAGTGTCCGCTGGCCCCCGCCCACCCAGGTGGAGGAAGAGAAAGGGGGCGCCCCGAGATGAGCCCAGCCTCCCCCGAGATGGTCGAAAGGATGGTGGGAGGAGGGGAGGGAGAGCAAAGGAGAGGAGGAGGAGAAAAGCGCAAAGCTGGCCGGAACCTGCGCTCCCCTTCCCCCGCCACGGAGAGGGTGACGGGGTGGGGGGCCGGCCTCTGCTGCGGGGTAGCAGTCCCTGGGGTAGCCGATCAGCACAATGCCCCCTCCCCGCCCCAAGCCCACACCAAGCTCGCGACGCCCCCACCTCCGCTCGGCGCCCTGCCGAGTGGCCCTAGGGGGCCTCCGCCCCGCCTCCCCACTGCCCAAGACCCCCGCGGGCTGGGTAAAGAAGAGGGGCCGGACGGAGCTGCACCCCAGGGGGAAGATAGAGTCGCAGAGGCCCGGGGAGTCTGTGAAGAGCTGAAAGAAGAAGCGTGCCAGGGCCGCTTCCCGCGGGCGTTCGGGCCCCCTCGCGTACCTTCTCCGTTGCCGACGTCCCGCGGCGGCGCCTGCAGCACCCGCTCCAGCTCAGGGAACGGCAACTCAGGCAGATCGAGCAGCGGCCCGTAGCGCTCCAAGAAGGAGCACACTACGGCGAAGTTGGGGCACGAACCCGGGCAGCCCGGAGGAGCCATCGCCGCCGCCGCTGCCGCCGCCGCCGCCATTTTGAACTGGAGGATGGAGGAGGAGGCGATGGGGGTGTGGGGGGGAGCTGAGGTGCCGAGGAATGGCAGGGCAGCTTTACAGACGACAGGAGGCGCTAGCTAGTGGACGCCCCTGCAGATCCCAGCTTTTCAGGCGCGGCGCCGCGATCCCACAATACAACGGCGCCCGGGAGCAGTCGAGAACCGAGTTTAGACCGGGGAAAGAGAGACGCTCTGTGCCTTTCACTTTCCTCCCTCTCTTCCCGCCCCCTTCCCTCACTGCCCTTCGCCCCTCCCACTTTGGGTTCGACACNTGTGACAGGGGGAATGAAAACAAGGGAAGCCGGGCAGGGAGGCGGGCTGGACGCCGGAGAGGCGGGACTCTCTAGGAACGACGACCAATAGGCTTGGAGGGGGCGGGGCTGTGGGCGACAGTGGAGGAAAGGCTTCTCCGGGTTGGGGAGGGGAGAGGCGCGGCGCGGCGCGGGGGGGGGG